GCGGGACGGCCAGTTGCTCCTGGGCCTTCCCCTGCTGGCCGGTTCTGGGTTCCCTGAGTCCTTGCTCGGCGCCGGCTACCCTCGAAGTTAGCCATGTGCTCCGGGGATTTCCTTGCTCAAGGCATGCGAGATATTGCTGTCTCTGCCATAGGCTGCGGACGAAGGTCGCCGCCGGCGTGTTTTAGAATCGGAGGCAAATCGATATCACAGTCTTGCTTTGGAAAACTAACCAAATCAATCTGAAATCTAATGGTCGTTATAGGTATTGAGAGGGCACCCCTCTACCCATGGGAGGGTTTCTCATTTGGTTGCCAGAGAGTAAACCCTAAAAGCACCCTTAATCTAGATTACAGTTTTGTGCCACAGAGCTAAATATGAACTTTAAAAACTACATGCAGTCTTTACCCAACTACCAGAGCACAAAGGATCGCCATAAAGGTGAGGACAAAGAGGAATTTTTTTAAATTAAAAAATATGTTCATATTACTTAAAGGATTTTAATTAGAGATAAATCGGTGAGTTCACAGGGTATTTCAGCTCTATGCTTTCTAAAGAAATATAAACATATCAAGGGAAAGTCGCTTATTTTGGATTTCATATTAAAATGCAACTTTTTGTTTTGAGACAGGATCTGGATATGTAGCCCAGGCTGTCCTGGAACTTGAAGTGTTTTTCCTGCCTCTGCCTCCTGAGTGCTGGGACCACAGGGATGCACACTGTGCCAGACAAAAATGGGACATTTCTGTACTTTTGGAATATTTCCTAAAATTAAGCCTTCATGTATATAAAGCATCAGAGATGAAGACTATTTATTCTATTTGTCTATGTTCTCCCTTGTCCTATGTTAATGTGTAAAAAAAACCTTTTGGATACCATAATATCAAGTTGCATTTAAGTGATCAGTACAAATCACCCTTGATGGCTTCACCAGTGAGCATGGAAAGTTGTTTACAAGGATGCTAATTTTACAGCTTTTTTATGTTGCTATAAAGCATAACTTTATGATGTAGGAATGCAATAAAGGATGTTAAATGGAAACTTTAAAATTTGTATTTCTCAAAGGCAAGGGAAATAGGGTCTTTCATTTGAAAAAAAATGGGCTAACTCAGAACACTGATGAGAAGTTGCAAATCAACTAAAGTGATAGAGGTTTTCAAAGACACTTACATTTTTAAATATAGTGGCTATTTGTCAACATCAAAATGAAAGTATACAGAGTTTTTCACTTGACATGACTCTGAAATAATATTTGTTTCTATGGCAATAGTTTTTTTCCTTTTTCTTTTGTATCGAGAATCCTGAACATTTTAAAATCATATGTTCTATTAGGATGGGGAAGGCTAACCTGGCCCAAGTGCTCAGGTTGACAGTTTAATGAAGATAAAAGCAGAGACTGAGAATCTCAGTTACAAGCATGGAAGATTTTTGCTTTTTGATGGAGAAAAAAACACCCCAATAGAATAATATTTCATATTATTTTTACTTATTATTGAAAGCAAGCTGGACTCCAGTTTGTTAATGTTCTCACTAAGGAATATAGTGGTGTAAGATATCAGAATGCAGGTTAGATGAGTACAACATGCTAGATGTCTAGCCTCTGATGAATTGTACTTTTTGCTGAGTAGCCTATTTGACATCTGTTAGAGAGAAAAGTCAAAGTCTATTATGACATAACTATATGACTGCTTTATTTTAATATACATATTTATCATTGTATATTAATTTTCTTCTCCAAATTGGCACTGAGTAGTCTATGTATCATGCAACTAAAGGTGTAATAATGATGTTGCATTTACTTTTTGTTGTTGATGGAAAACATATGATATAGGAATTCAACCTGCTAAAGATGATATTAGATAGTGAATATAAAATAGGATGCAGAACAATTTGGGTAAATCAAGGAACTTACAAATCTAGATATACAGATGAAATAGATGGAATTCTGACTATGGGGTAATTTGTATTTGTTGCTCTCAATGACTCTTCACCTTGAAAATGAAAATATATTTTTAATCTGTATGGTGGACCTAGTGTTTTAATTTTTGGGATAAAGAAAAACTCAGCTCACACAGATGTGCATCTTACTAATGGCGGTGGTTAACCTGTCAGTTGAAAGAATGTAACCTTCCTTTCTTCCTTTCAGACATAAAGATAATCTCATCTGAGGGCATTTATGTGAAGAAATAACAGCATGGCATGGTGAAACTACTGCCTCATTAATCCTGGCATCTACTTCCTACAGGGTTCCTTGATTAGTTAGATTCATTCATAGTGTATTTCGGAGTTTTTGATTTGTCACCATTGGCTAGGTTCACTGAGTTCAGGCTAAATTGAGCCAGAAGCAATGTTTATTAGTAATTTTGTAGTACAGGCTACCCTAATAATTCAAGCCCAAATATCTCATCTGAAAAATGTCCATTCATTCTCACTTCTAATTTGGGTTGCAGCTGTGTTCATAGGGAATTGAAAGTACACAAGTGATTGGGCATGTATTTTCTAAATTATTAATATGATGGCTAATAGCTTTAAACCAATCTTCATATCCAGTACAGAAATTATGCTTCATTTTTAAAAACAAAAGCGGCTACAAAGGGAGACACCCCCTGCCTGGCTTTCTGGTCTCATCAGTGCAGTGCTTTTAGTAAAGGAACCATGGCCTATTTAACAGAGAGATGCAGAACAACACCTTGTTTCTTTTGCAGTTTTGCACTATGTAAATAAGGTGTGGATTTATGAGATTTCCTCTACAACACCATTAAGAAAATTCATGTATGAGCCACACAGAGGATCTTTTTCCAATTTTGCTGATGTCACAGTCTTTAAGCAGGCACAATTAGTTGTTTGTGTAGCTAAGCTGCATCTTCCATTCTCATGCTCCAGTATACCAGACATCCAAGTTTCCATCTTTAAGGCCATACTGTATTTGCATTACACTTGTTGCAGTTGCTCTTGCTTCCATAATCTCACTCAGTTCTGTTCTGAAATAACTCATAAGTACCAGGAAATATATAATTAACCTGCATGACACATGCAATATATGTTCTTTATATTCTTCATTGAAATGTCACAGGGCTTTATATGCTTTTGTTCACAGTACTTACTGAATCTATTTAAGATAAACTCAAGGTCAGACTGAAAAACTGTTGAAACCCTTAACACTCAGAAGATTATATAGGATACCTGTGAAGTTAGAATAAAAACAACAGGAAACTGCAAAACAGAGCACATATACTAGAATTAAGTTATTTCTAGACTTTTGAAGTCATAAGATTTTGATGAAGTCAGTGAAGCTGAACTGACCTTTTTTTAAAAAAATATTCTTGTTCAATTTAATTAATTAGACAAAATTTGTGAGAGGGTCTTATTAGCATCAAACTTGAAACATTTTGCCTCAGCATTCTGAGTTCTGGGATTACTGGTTTTTTTTATGCCATGTATTCTGTATATTAGATATTTCAACATTTATTTTAGAAATAGTGTTTATTTTACTATTTTCCCTTCAGTCCCTTACATTTGATTCCATGTCTGATTGATAGAGCACACGATCTCACTTAAATCATGCCACACATAGAAAGTATATTCCTGATTTGTAAATGGAGAAATTGAGATTCATCTAAGCTACGTATTTTGCCAAAGGTCACATAGCAAGTAGCAGAGATACTTCCTCAAATCCAGCCTTCAGATTATTCAGCAATAGTGTATGTGACATGTGGACATCCCTCACAGCAGATTTTCAGGGAAAGAAATGACCTAACTTTGAAGTTAAATAATTCACCTTTGTAATTTAAACAAGGGATGTTAGTGGGGCATGACAACTGCATGAAGTGAGTTTCAAGAGTCCAGAAGCACCAGTTCCTTCTGAACCTCATCCTCCTTGAGGCTGATTCGAGATCCTAGAAGCTTGCCACAAGCAGCCTCTTTGCTGTGTACAAAGCCTTTATCAATGCACCTGCTGCCTTGTGACATGAGCTCTGGGCTGATGTGTCAAGAAACTTTCAGAGTTACTCCATACTTTGAGAAAGGTGGTATTGCAGATGGGGAAGGAGAGAGTTGACTGTCCACAGGGAGTGTGGATCCTGTGTTCTTCACTGTTTCAGATAGGCTTTGTCAGCTGGCGTTTATAGTGGCATCTTTTGGTGTTGGTTCTATGTGATATTAAATAGTCACAACCCAGGATAAGCCATTTCTCCCCCTTTTCCTTGCATTAATTAAAAATGGATGTTAGAAACACATTGTCGATCAAACATGTAAAACCTTAGCATTCAAATGGATCTATAAAATCATCTAGTTGAGACTCCATGTCCACTGCTGTCCTTTAAAAAATGTCTCACAAGTGGTCTTGTTGGCTCTGGTTGAGTACAAGGTGGATATTTACTTTTGGCCTATTGTAGGGAAGCTTTTTATTAAGCCAAGTTTGCCTGAGTTCTTTGTTTATAGACTTACTTTGTTAAGGACCATCTTATCTCTTAATAATGAAATGAATGTATTTTTAGACTTGTTAATATTTTTGTAAGTCGGCATTTCACTTGGTGACAATGGTAGAGTGCCTGATAAACTTCATGCTTGAGGTTCAGCACAACTGCTAGCTGCTTCTTGCTGCATAAATTCCAGTGTGATAAAGAAACTTCAGATAGTCTTTCCCTTTGCTGAGTCAGTGGGTGAGCTGTTTGCATTTGGGGAGGGATGGAGCCTGGTGAGGACTTGCAGTGTTTTTTTTTTTTTTTTTTTTTTTTTTTTTTTTGGGGGGGGGGGGGGCCGGGGGGGGATTTGTGGGTTTTTTTTTTTTTTTTTTTTTTTTTTTTTTTTTTGGTGGTAAGAAAAAGTTAGAAAATTATGAACTAGCCTTAATGTTTTTGGCCCAGAAACAAGTGCAGTTGGTCAGTGAGAACAACTTCCATAGATTCTCCTGCTGGTAAGAGCC